AGAAAAAGAAGGTTTATGTCTTTCAGTGCAGATTTTTGAAGGTCAGTTTCCAGTTACATTTCAATTTACTATTTCTGAATAGTTCACTTCTTTCTGAAGTGTTTTGCATTTGTTTTACTTGACCAATTCACCTCCTAATATTTCTAGACTGATTCTTCACTCAATTAAAAAACTTTCTTGGTGCTGCAACTCACATTCACAATTGCCTACATATAACAAAATAGAAACACCAAAAGGATGAGGAAATAAGGTTAGAAAGGGGAAAAACAATCCAGAAAACAGTCACATGTCACTCCAGGATTCTTTCTTCAGGGAAATTATGACTTGATGAACATTAACTACATAGATTTACAGTCACTGAAAGAAAAGCATTCACACTGGAGAAGATACCTTAATTTCAATACCAAGATGATATTGGTTACTTACTATATGTGGACAATCCCGAGCATCTATTAGCACCTGATAGTAAGTATGTGTTTTGCCCTTGACCTCTTTGGAACCATGGCCTGCTACATTCTCGCTCCTAAACAGAAAAGCAGAACACTGAGCTCCAGTGTGTGCTCACCAACCCCTGCTTCATCTGCTGCTCAGAAGGGGGAAGGAGTTCACTTCAGGATGGCAGCAAACTGCTGTCACCAGGAGAGAGCACATTCATAACAGTAATTTCTTAAAATACATTTCACAGTCTGCAGTCATTCAACTCCATTTTAAATTTCTCACTCTCAGACATACACTCTCTTCCTTCGTCCTTCCATCATCCTACCTCCAATTAACAGAAAATTAATGCAGTATCTTGTTTGAGCACATCTATTCCAGTTTACCCTCATATAAAACAGAACCACACTAATGTTCTCCTTAAAGAACTTCATTGCTTCAAGCAAGAAACTTGCTAATAAGTGTCAATATAACTGTATAAACTAGAAAGAATCCTTACTTTTCTGTGACAGGAGAAGCAACATCTCGATCATAGAGCCTAGCTTGCCAGGGAAACAGAACTATTCCTCGATAGCCAAACACACTGTGAAGAAATAGCTGAAAAGAACAAATAGTTGCATTTGAATACACAGCAAACTTCACTCTTAGATACAACAGAAAATACAAACCCATGAGGCCTCTCTTGGAAAGTATCAAAAGAAAAAAACATCTGTTAACTAAAGTAAAATTTGTAAAATGGGAATACAGGATAATCACTACAGCAGAAACACAGAGGAAACATAATGTGAAACGAGTACAAGTTTGTGGTGCCTCCATCCCATAAAACAAATGTTAAACCAGTGATAAAGTAGGGGATCAAAATAAGTGCAAAAAGGAGAGAGGGATGGAAGAGACTGCTCAGAAAACAGAAACATGTGAGAGTTATGTATGCAGAAATGAGAAGTTTAGTAATTTCTCAGATTCAGCAGTTTTCCCTTTTGCTGCTAAAGGGAGAAAACAAATTAAGAAAGAGCAAATACCACTGTATGAACAGACGTGTCATGTTGCAGATTCTTATCAACTTGCTACTGTCAGATGACTGACAAACTGCCAACACAGCAGACACAAGAAACACCAAACCGTGACACTTCTGGCCTTTCACTGCTATGCCACAGCCTTCTGATGGGCGGAAGCAGAAGCTCTTTCCCATGCTCTGCTCCCCAGGACAGCTCACCTGGCCCGTCTCATATTTGCCATGCTGCTTTGGTGCCTCAAACACCCCCACTGTCTCCAGCACTTTGCCCTCCAGACGGTTCCTAGGAGTGGAGAGAGGTTTTGCTGGCTGTGCAGGGCAGCACACGGGGCATGCTGGGCAGCGTGCCCAGAGCTGGGAGCACTATGCATAGCACCAGGGCCCCCTCCCTGTACCTCACACATTCCCATGAGCACCTATTGCCCTGCCCTCTGCCCCAGTGCCCCCCCTCAGATCTCCCTCCCTTTTCCAGTCACCCCCAGTGCCCCAACCCCCAGCCTCCCAATAACCCCGCTCCAAGCACTCCAACATCCTCCACCTGCCCCTAGGTCCCTAACTCACCTGAATGCCCCTCCCTTAAACACTAGCACATCCCAAACAACCCCACGCATCCCAAAAACATCTGATGCAACCCAAAACCCCCTCACCCCCTTCCAATACCCCATCACCCACCCCGATACCCCCTCATTCACCCCAACACTCCTCAAACACACCAAAAAACCTGACCCACCAACACCCCCTCACAAATCCAACTACAAAAATCCCCGAAATCCAACCACATCAACACCCCTTCACCCGCCCCAACAACCCCTCAACCGCTTTAACACCCCCAGACCCACTCCAACACCCCCTCAGCCCCCTGACCGGCCCTAATACCCCCCCACGCACTCCAAAAACACCTCACCCGCCCCAACAACCTCCGAACGCCGCCGTCACGCCCGCCCCTCACAGGCCTCACCGAGACGAGAGGTGCCTCCGCGGCAGCAGCGAAAGAGCCGCGACGCTCCCCCCGCTCAGAGCCCGCGGCACGCGGGTCGGGAGCGGCTCCCACAGCGGTTCCCACAGCGGCAGCCCGCGGGCACGGCACCGACACAGCGCCGCCGCCAAGTACCGCCGAGCCGCGCCGCCCGACATCCCGCCGCCGGCCCACTGCAGCGCGGGCCCACTTCCGGTCCTCCGCTTCCCGGAAGTGCCTCCCCCCTCCCACTTCTTCCTCCCCCGCGGCGCTCTAGCCCGCCCTCACGCCGGAGCTCTATGGTGTTTCGCGTCGCCTAGGCGACCAGCCGGGCAAGATGGCGTCGGCGATTCGGGCCGGAGCGCGGCTGAGGCGGGCGGTGCAAAGCGAGGAGCTGTCCGGGCTTCCCGCCGCGCTGCGGGACGAGCTGCGGGAGGCTGTGGCTTCCAAAGACTCCCTGGTGCCCTTCAATTTGCTGCGGAGGCTGCACAGCGGGCTGCGGGAGGCAGGTAGGCCGCGCGGGGCCTAGCGGGCCGCACCTCGCCGCACCGCGCCGCCGTTAACCGTTCTGCCTTCCGCAGGATCCCCGCTGTTCCTCCACGAGCTCCTGAGAGACAGCGACATCGCCCTGCCCGAGGTGCCGGTGCAGCCGCGGGTAAGTGAGGGCTGGGGAAGGGCTGGGAGCTGCCACCACCTCCCGAGGCCCTCACGGTGATTGCGGCCATTCCCCCAGAACCCCGAGCTGGTGGCCAGGCTGGAGCAGATAAAGGCCAAGCTGGCCAATGAGGAGTACCGGCGGATGACCCGCAACGTCATCAGGCAGGTGAGGGGCCTGGAGGGAGAATTCCCACCTAAGGATGTCCAACCCCCACTAGGATGTCCTATTACAGAGGAGGTTCGGGTTGAATATCGGGAAAAGGTTCTTCCCCAAAGAGTGTTGGGGCACTGGAACAAGCTCCCTAGAGCAGCAGGCATGGAACTGAGCTGCTGGAGTTCAAGAAGCATCTGGACGGCTCTCTCTGTGTTGGATTTGATGATCATTATGGATCCCTTCCAACTCAGGATGTCCTGTGATTCTGTGAATACTGTGCCTTCAGTGCTCCTGAGGAAAAACTGGGGGGAAGTTGGAAGAAAATCCATGTGTCTTAGAGGCAAAATAATAAAGTAGCCAGCCTGCCAGGTTGGTGTTACACATCAGTTCATCTTCAAGCTGATACTCACATGAAGAGCAGAAGCTGATGCTCTGTCAATCTCTTGTTTGAGTCTGGCTTTCTAAGTTCAGGATGCTCCCATGTGTATGTGGGCATTGCCTTCTATCCCATCACAATTCAAGGCAAGACCCTCTAAGGTCTGTTAAATACAAATCTCCATCTGAGAACATGTTCAAACCCCATGAAATGCTTTGATTAGAAATTACCCTTCTCATTGTCAATGAATCAGACTGCAAGCATAAATCCAGAAAAATGTGGGTCCTGTGAAATTGCTGCTCCCCAACAGCTGCCAAAGCCCAGCAGAAGCTGTCCAGAGTTCTCAGCAGGTCTTAGAAACTGGACAGGGTTTTGCTATTGCTTTTATTCTGCAAATAATGTTAAAATACAGTGGAACACAAGTTGTTTTAATCCCTTCTTTTAGGATATGAACCATGGGACATTAGCTGAATTCGGGAGGCAAGGTGAGTGGCTGTTTGTCTTGCTGACACCTAATGGTATGTACCAACAGCAGAGAAGTTGGGCACAGGAACCATCACATCACTAGTAGTTGGCCTCAGCCAGCCCTTCCCTCTCTGAGCAACAGCATCTCCCTGAAAGGTGCTAATGCTCAAAGTATTCCTCCAGTAAAGGAACAGCCAGTCTGTAGTTCTTAAAAGTATTTCTAGAGGCGTGAATTTTCAAGCATTCCTGTAGCCCAGCGGAGGCAGTCACAGGCAGATTCAGCCAGCTGGATTACAGCTTGCCCCTCACCAATCCCTCCTCTCTCCCGTTTCTCTCCAGTTCGCTCTGTTAAAGCTGTAGTCATCACCATATTCAACTTCTTTGTCACCGTGGTGGCTGCGTTTGCCTGCACATACCTGGGCAGCCAGTATGTCTTTGTGGAGACAGCGGCGGTGAGTGGCCACGGCCTCAGAACCAGCTCAGAACCTGTTGGCAGGAGCAGCAGATGCTGCCCAGCACCAGGCAGCAGCTCGACCACACACACACACAGTCACTTTTCTTTCTTTTTGTACCCACAGCGTGTCCTGTCAGCAGTGATTGTGGCCTCAGTGGTTGGCTTGGCTGAACTGTATGTGATGGTGCGCACAATTGAAGGAGACCTTGGGAAACTATAACCACACACATCCCCTTAAATTGAGGCTCCTGCTGAAGGCTTTTGCCCACTACACGAGTCATTTGTTTGGGGCATCTTATCTCTGGACTGTCATCTAGCGGATGTTACCACCCCAGTTGTTGCTGTCTCAGTTACTCTGTAAAGTTTCTGTCTTTTTATTATAGAATTAAGTAACAGTGTATGTTTTTCAACCTCCTTCCTGCCATGCAACACGCTAACCTGGCCTCTAAGAGACATCATAGCCAGCCATGAATCTTCCCTCTCCCTCTGCATCTCACATCCTGCTGTCTCCTGTGGAAACTAGGGCTCTTGCTTAGCCTGTCCTTCCTCCTCCCACCTGGTCCCCTGCCTGTTTTAGGGAAAGCAGTACTCACTCATTGTCAACTTGACAGTACGTGATGATGGTTGCCTTCTACAGAGATCTGTCCAGGATGACAACACCTGGTGTGACCATGTTGGAGTTGGCACCTGGCTCCCAGCACAGCTCATACCAAACCCATTTTCTCTGGCTGAGGAGGGAAGGCAGCTCCAAAAGGAGCCTGGGGGCTTCTCGGGTGCCATGGAGCAGAGAGCAGAACTCGCTGAGTGCCCCCATGGCCATGCAGCAGGGAGGGGGCTCTGCTGGGCCCCCCGGGGAACCAGACACCTGCTGGGTGGGAACTATGCCAGAGCTGGACACGGTGATTAATGCTCTGATGGCAGCTAAGCCCCTCTGTGAACACACTTTAATATCTGATACGGGGAAATCTGCCGGCACCTGCAAACGTGCCCGAGGATTAGGGGCGGCCACGCCACAATCATCCGCGGATCCTGCCTCAGATTAAGGTATTTTTCCAAAAGATTAGTTGGTATTAGGGGGGCTGATTGGGAGCTGGCCCCGTCACGGCTGCACCAGCATTTAGGATATTGGATGGCGTTGTAGGGACCGCTGGGCCCAGCAGTAATTCCACACCCTAATGAAGTCAGAACATTAAGCCCCAGCGCACCCCGCTTACGGCTCGCCCAGATTGGTGATGGCTGCACTGTAGATAAGGTCAGAGATAGAGCCCAGCGAGGTGGGGAGGCCCCATGCAGGGCTGTGGGCTCTCGATGGTGGCAGCGTGGGAACCGGGATGGTGCTTTCGGGGGTCACCACGGGCGGATCCTGTTCCCCTGGTGGTGGTGACAGTGGTGGCTCCGGTTTGGCGCTGCGGATCCTGCGAGCACGGCGGTTCTGGAACCAGACCTGGGCCAGGGAATGGGGGGAACCGTGAGACAATGGGAACAATTCAACGGGGCGGATATACAGGATGGGGACACCGGGAAGGATGGAGGGAGGTTGGAGGGTCTTGGGGGTCCCAGCCCTGCTCACCTGGATCTTGGCCTCAGGCAGCTGCGTGAGCTCAGCAAGGCGTTCTCGGGTGGCGATGTCCGGGTAGGGCACAGCGGCAAAAGCCCTCTCCAGTTCTGACAGCTGCCCACGGCTGAACGTAGTCCGCCGCCTCTTCCTTGGTCCCCCCGGGCAGGGGAAGGGCCCCGGAGCTCGGTTCTCTGTCCCCGCCGCAGGACCGCCCGCCCCGTCGGGGAAGCGGAGCAGCGGCTGTGGGGCGCGGGAGGTGCCTGGGGCCGCGCTCATCTCGCCCGGTTCCCCCGACCCCGCTCCCAGCCCGGCTTTTATCCCCTCCCGGTGGGCTGGGACCGCCCCGAGCGGGCGGTGCTCACCGATTCCCCCCTCCCTGCCTTTCCCCCCCGGCAGTTCCCTGGGGCCGGTCCCGGTTGGTGCCCTCCGACGGCAGCATCCCGGGGCATCGCGGTGCCCTCAGTGTCACATAATCCCAGCAGTTCCCTGTACCAACAACGCGACAGCTCCAGGAGCTGCTTTCCCAGCACCAGTAACCCCTGTTTACCCAGATACTGGACAACCTGAAGGCTCCCAAAGCCTTTCCCCCATCGGATCCATAGAGACCCCAACCATGAAGGAGGCTCAGGGGTCCAGTGTCAATAAGTTGGGAAATGCAGTTGATGCTGAGACCTCCTCCATCCCTCCTGAGGTGAAGTGACCCCATGCAGCACCCGTTGCCTGCCCCCCAGCCTCACCTCCCCCCCATGCCACCCTCCTGCAGGGCTGGCACCAGTCAATGTTTAACCGAAGCGGTGGTACCGGTTGTGTGGGGCAGACAGAGCTGGCTGCTGGTGGATCCCACCGGGGCTGAGCAGGCACTGCTGCCGCCCTGATTGAGGGGTGCTGAGAGAGAATGGAGGCAGAGGAGGAGCGGGGCTGGGGGCCTGAAGCAGGAACACGGCCCAAAATGCTTCCACGGAGCCAACTGCGATTGTAAGTCTGGGGGAAATGGAAGGGGCTGAGCCCAGGGCCTGAGCAGCCACCACTGATAAAGCCACTGCAAAAAGGCCAGGGAAGAAAGGACAGGGGGGTCCCTGCACGGGGACATGGCAGGACAGCACTCCCTACCAGCTGCTGGGGCACAGTGGGGCAGGAGGAAAGTGCATGTTCAGGTCCCTCTCCCAGGGGTGCCAGCCCACTGCCCCTTGTTCACCCCAGGAGCCCCGGCGAGGAGCAGGAAGGCAGAGAAACACGCCTGAGAGTGGTGCTAAGGTAAGTGACACCTGTTCCCCGGGGCAGTATCACAATGGGATCCCCAAAGATCCCCACATATTGCCACCTCTGTGTGTGTCCCCCAATCAGGGTCCGACCACTAACCTGCACAGAGACACGTCGAGGTGACCGGCACGCGGTGCACAGCCTGGGCAATGGCACCGTCCATGTAAGTGCCACCTCCCCACGGTGGGGCCAGGGGTTGTGAGCCCCTCCTGAGCCACCGCCGTCCCCATGCCCAGGTGAGTGCAGCCAGGCACGATGCCACCTTCACCTTCAGTGCCGTTTTTGATGCGGGCGCCTCACAGGAGGCTGTCTTTGAGGGCAGTGGCATGCAGCAGCTGGTAGAACTGGCAGTGGAAGGGTGAGACCCCCATATGCCCCCCACCCTAAATTCAGATAGCACCAGGATGTCTGCATTGCACAGACAGTGCCGAGAGGTGGCATCCCTCTGCCACGGCCTGGGGCCATGCCTGAGGCTCAGCATCTCCCCCAGCTTCTCCTGCACTGTTTTCGCCTACGGACAGACAGGCTCAGGGAAAACCTACACCCTGATGGGCCCTCTGGGACAGGTACCGCACTGGTGCCCAGTAATAAGACAGGCAGCAGGTGCTGATGTGGTGTGATCCATTGACCTTGTGGCATCTCCTCAGAGTGATGCCCCAGAGCTGCTGGGGCTGATGCAGCGGTCCTTCTCCTGCCTCCTGGAGCAGAGCCGTGGCACCGGCCTGACGCTCAGTGCCTCCTACCTGGAGATCTACAACGAGCAGGTGAGCATCCACCCAGCCCCAGTGCCAGCCCCGCTGACACCTCCTGACCCCTCTGCCACCCCCAAGGTCAGGGATCTGCTGAGTGCAGGACCACCCCGTGCCCTACCCCTGCGTTGGAGCAAAACTCGTGGTTTCTACGTAGAAAACCAGCTCAGCGTGGACTTTGAGAGCCTGGAGGCTGTCATCGAGCTGCTCCTGCAAGGTGCTGGGCTGTGGGGCTGGGGTACGCATGGGAGGTATTTGCCAGGTCCCCCTGCAGCTTTCTGTTCCAGCAGGTTCCCAAAGGCGACGGACCTCTGCGCACGCCCTCAATGGGCACTCGAGCCGCAGCCACGCCATCCTGACCATCCGCATCCACAGCCGAGCAGTGAGCCCTTCCCCTGCAGTGGGGACATGGGGAGGGATGGGGGATTGGGGTCTGGGGGGGTCCTCCAGCCCCAAGGTAGGGGCTGCCTCCTCCTCCCCAAGGATGCTTTGATGATGCTGGGGAGAGTGGCACAGACCACATCCCGAACTCAGGGGGTTACACAACGAGGGAGGGATGGGTGGGATGCAGAACAGCAGCATCATCCACAATGTGCCCCCCCAGCCTGGCACCAGCAAGCAGGGCACGCTGTGCTTTGTGGACCTGGCCGGCAGTGAGCGGGTGAAGGACACCGGCTCCAGCGGGGAGCTCTCCGTGGAGGCCAACAACATCAACCGCAGCCTCCTGGCCCTGGGTAAGAGCTGAGGCACCCTGTGGGTTGCAAACCCCACTGCCACCCCACTGTATGCTCTGCAGCTCACTCTTCCTGCAGGACACTGCATCTCCCTGCTGGCCAAGCCCCGAGGGAAGCGGACGCACATCCCCTACCGGGACAGCAAGCTCACCCGGCTGCTGGCCCGCTCGCTGGGCGGCTCAGGGGTCACACTGATGGTATGGCAGGAGGTGCATGGAGCCAGGGAGGCCCACAGAGAGGAAGGCTGAATGGGAACAGGGTGGTTCAACTCATTGGCAGGTCGCCTGCGTCTCCCCGTCCTCGCGCTGCCTCTCAGAGACGCTGAGCACGCTGCACTATGCCAGCAGAGCCCGCAGGGTCACCACCAGACCCATGGCCAACAGGGTACGGCTGTGGGAAGGGGTGGGATGCTCAGCCCCCCACTGTGGAACCCTGAGCCATCCCCTGGTGCTCCCAGGTGCCTCGGGAGAAGCTGCTGCAAACTTTGGAGGAGGAGATTCAGGCACTGCAGCTGGAGAACCTCTCCCTGCGGCAGCAGCTCAGCCTGCCCAGGAGCAGAGAGGTGCCAGGGGCATGGCCTGGCTGGGTGGGCAGGTACAGCCTTGGGGGGCTGCACTGCCCCCCTCTTGAAGGGCAGCTCCCGGTGGAGGGAGCTCCAGCCTGGCCCAGCCTCTATGGTCTGCTGCGGGACTTTGTGGTGGAAAATGAGAAACTCAGGTATGGGAGTCCCTCGGGACACATGGGACCCATGAGCAGAGGGTCTCCAGCAGCCGGTGTGTCAGCGCCTCTCCCAGGGCCATGGGGTTCAGAGAGGCTTCTGCTGCCCTGCTCTTCTCCCTTTGCTCCCCAGGCAGCCCCAACTGCCCCCAGGCCCCAGCAGCGGTGACATCCCGACCATCCCATCTCACAGCCAGGCCCCACACCGGAGCATCCACATCCCACTCAGCCAACCCTCATGGCCCCAGCACCCCAATATGATGCCCACCTCTGTACATCGGCTGCCAGTGAGTCCCTGATGACCCCATGCATAATGCATGGTGACACTGTGCCAACACCCACTGCCCTCTGCCTCTTGCAGAAGCTGCCTCCTGCCTCCAGCTGCCCCCAGTGCTGCACCAATGCCATTGCGTCCCAGGTAGGGTCAGTCCCATTGCAGAGGGTGGCAGGGTGTGGGGGCAACTTGATGGCTCTGCTTGGCTCCCACGTACTGCCTGTCCCCAACAAGGGAAGTGCCAGCCTTCCGCTGCCTGCCCAGGATGATGGCACCGTGCCCAGCTGTTGGCTGCAGAAAGGAAAGCGGTGAGAGCTGAGAGCAAGGAAAAAAAAGTCCCAGACTTGTGGGGAGGTTGGAATTTCACTCATGCATCCTCACAAACAGGAGCCAGGGAAGGAGCTGGAGCTCACTGCGGCAGCACGCAGTGCCACGGGACAGCCAGGAGGCAGCGGGCACCGAGGGAAGGGTCATCCCTTCAGCCCCACCGTGGCCAGGACCACCAGAGCCCAGTGGTGAGCAGTGCCATGGGGTCAGGCTCTGTGGGGCTGCAAGCCCGACCCCAGCACGCTGCAGACCTGACCCCACTGCTCTGCCTCACAGCTGCCGGAGCCATCCCTGTGCTGCAGTGGGAAGAGGCTTCGGAGTGGCTGGAGGAGCTAATCTGAGCCCTGCACTCACACCATCATCGGGAGATTTTGGGGACAACGGCGTGCTACAGCGACTGCACAACACACAGACCTCACCCTGATGGACAGACAGACGGACACGGCGCTGGTGGTTTATTTGGGTCTAGCTAGGTGCCGTGCTGCTGGTGGTCGTGGTGGGGCCCTGTTCAGGTGCTCTCCTCATCGGGCTGTGGGCAGTCCAGCCAGTACTGCGCGATGGAGCGCGGGTAGCGGGGCTGCACCAGATCCACGCGCTTGGTGCGCAGGTTGACACGGTAATACTTGTCTGGGAGGGGGGACAGAAGGAGCTGTCAGACCTCGCTGCCAGCCCCACGCTGTCCCAAAGCATCCTCAGCCCCAGGGGGAAACTCTCCCCCAGACTCACCGCCTACAAAGAAGTAGACACTCTGTAGGGTCTCACACTGAGATCCTGACAGCCAGTCTCTTTCGGTGTCGGTAGATTCGGAATCGTTGTTCAGCCAGCCCCAGAAACCCAAATTCAGAGTGCGATGGTTCCTGTACCTCTTGCGGTGGCGACGGGAATTCCTCCTGCGGGGCTGCCGGGATGACACGTAGATCCTGCCGGCCATGGCAGCGTCCAGTCGGTTGGGCACCCCCCGCCAGTCCCTGCTGATGAGCCGTGGGCTGCTCGCCCCGACTGCCAGAAAGCACGAGTTAGAGGGCAGCAACACGTGGGCACCAGCATCTGCCCCATAGACAGCCCCCTGTGCCTGCCCCGTGGCACAGGGATGCTCCAAAGGGTCCCTGGTGCAATGGGATCTGTGTTGGGATCTTGCCCAAATGTAATGTCTCTATGAGTGGACGTGGTGGGGATGGGTTGGTGTTTGGACTCAATGATCTTAGAGTTCTTAATGAGTCTATGGTATTATGAGCGGGCATGGCGAGGAGGGTTGACCGTTGGACTTGATGGTCCTGGAGGTCTATTTCAAAATTAAAGATTTTACCTATGATTCTGTGAATGGACATGGTCAGGAGGGATTGGCGGTTGGACTCGATGTCCCAGCACTTACCCATCCTACTACCGAAGAGGGAAAAGAAAATCTCCTCCCAGCTGTCACGGTTCATGAAGGCGTAGTGGTTGAACACGGTGGAGGGAGAGGACTTATCGCACTCGGCCTGCGTGGGCTGATGGGCGAAGTCATAGGACCAATAGTACTCGCCTAGAGAAAGGATATGGGGTATCACTGTGGTACTCGGGGTTGAGCAGCAGCAGCTGAGGGAGCAGCATCCTGCCCATGGCCTCCATGGGGATCAGGAGGGCTGGCTCTGTTACCCTTGAAGAAGTAGACTCGCTCATTGCCATGATAGCTGTGCGCTGGGAGGGCAAAGGCAGCGTCGATGTCATTGGGGATACCCTCAAAGCCCTCAGAGATGTCACGTGGGTATCCAGAGTCCAGGGCTCCATCATCAAAGCGCCAGTATTGGCTGCCCTGGGGAGGAGCAGGGGGGTTGGCAAGGTGACACCAGGTATGGGTGTGCTGGGCATGGCCATAGGGATTTGGGAACATCCAGTGGTATGTGGATACATTTGTGCTGGGGATGGCCATATGTGGGGACATCCAGAAACTACCACGTGTATGTGGAAGGTCCCAGGGTGGGGAAAGGGGAGGTGGGTGCTGTGACCAGGAGAGCTCTGCTCACCTTGAAGAGATATGT